ACATATGAGATGTGGCTTTGAAGGTTGGGGGCTGGCCGCCATAATGGGGAGATAATTGGCAATATCCTGCTTTCTTTGCCTCATGCGAGTGGCTCGAGGGTCGCCAGGAAGTGACTTGTCTCCGTCCGGGTTGGACAATGGAACTTCACGTTGGGCACATTGTATGTATACAGTATGTCATGCGATTCCTCCGACGCAAGTGAGCTTGCCGTTGCTGCTGACGCGTTGCAAACTTGCGAAAGGTGGCAAAGGCTGAGTGAGGTGAGGGATGGCTATATCACGATTCACGGGTGACTCGTGAGGAGGAATGGCTCAGCTGAAGGCCGCTGCTTGAGCTAACTTGTATGATAAGACCACCCTCTGCTCTGGATGTGGCCCGATCGCCAAAAAATGAAAATAATGACGCGCTCTTCCTCAGGACGGTTGTTGGTTGTCAGACGTATGTATGTATGTACATTGTATGAATCATGTATGTGAGCCATCAGATTTGTCTGCTGAGCTGGATGTCAAGTTACTCAGGGGCGGGCAATCAATAGGGATTAGGGAGACACAAGGAGAAAGGTTGAGTAGAGTACAAGCAGCAGAAAAGAGGAAGACATGTGAGAAAAGGCGGCACAATATAGGTTTACAGTGTGTTAGAGTAGGTACTAAGCGCTTGTTTTAGAAAGTTTGAAGTCATGCGCGATTCCTCCGCAAAAGCACAGAAGACGAAGCAGAAGAGAAGGCACAAAGGCGGCACCAGCACGTGCAACATCATGACATTATCAGCGCACTAAGACTTATATTGACAGCTCGAAATACTCTGCTTGTGTGAGGCAATTCTTCTGCAGGAAACACGCAAAATTGAAAGAAAAGAAGCGTCCGACCAAGTACAAGCGTCCATCTACGCAAGCCACTAATAAGTAGCTACTTCCACTTGAATCCCTTGTATGCAAACAGACCTGCTTCGTCCAGCCACCCTATCCGAAAACCCAACTCTTGACGCATCCTAATTGATTCCAATCATGGCTAAAAGCTGCTCATTCACACAATGCGTCCATGAGCCATCATCCTCTACCAATCCTGTTCTTGTATTGTCTATCTACCGTGCCGCACCGGCAGCAGTAGATGGATGGAGAGCGGAGAGAGGACCCCGTGTGAATGTGCCAAGCGTTGGGCAAAGATTCCCCTCCAACATCGTGTTTTGGAGGCGATATTGGCGGTTAATAGGGTGGCCAAGGAAAGGGGCAATTAGAGCAGCTTGATGCACTCAAGGCCAATGTTGATCAGGCCGGTCTACAGACGCGAAGATTACATATCAGTAAAGGATAGACTCCACGACGGATGTGTATCATGATAATGGGCAACGTACCTGAGGAGCAGACTTGCAGCAGTAACTGCCTCCACCGCAGTTGTTACCCAGAAGGTTGAGGTTGCAGAGGATTCCTCCAAGAAGACCGCCCTGGCAACAGACGTAGTTGGGGTGGTCGTTGTTGCAGCTGTAAGAGTTGTCGCCGCCTCCGGTGGGAATGGCAATGACGGTGGCTGCGAGAGCAACAATGGCGGCAGTGTACTTCATGATGACGGAATTGGGGAGGTTGAAGCGAAGTAAAGAGGGATGATGCTGATTACAGAAGACGGAGTAAAGGTCGAGGAAGAGGTCGAGAGATGGCTTGGTCGGATGAGGAGAAGAAAAGATCGTTGAGATACGAGGGAATACTGAGGCTTTTTATATTCGAGAGTGCCTCCCTGAGGAAAATCTCACAATACGAAGCCCCCTTTTCGTCGAGGACGTGTTCGAACATCCAGGATACCTGCTGAGAAACTGTCATCCGGTCGTCCTACATGACGCGCCGGACCAAATTCGCTTTCGTATGCTACATGCCCACATGCCCTGACGGATCACCATGCTCGTCATACTTGTGTTAGTCCCCATGGCACGCCCGTCTCACTCGGTTGCCCCCTTCTCTCGAATTACCAAGGCAGCTTACCAGGGGCAGCATATTGTCTTGGCGTCCACAAGAAGAAACTCACTCTCTCGGAGACAACCCTCCAGCTGCCCTCTTACCACCCCATCGTGTTTGAGACCTTCCATATGGCGTTACTGGTAATAGGCCATTGGGATGATCTTCTGGCTTCGGATTTCTGCATCGACAGAATCAGTTCTATACAGACCGTAGACATCGTGTGTGACGAGCCCGATTCGTGTAGGAAAAGGAGGTATTGAAGGTCACTGTACACTTACGGAAGCAGCAGATTCCTCAGATTGACAGATATCATGTCTGATTAAAAACCTCGAGACAAAATCAGTCACTATCAAGAGTGAGTTACAGTACGATACACCTCGTTGGACACGATTTATACGTCGTGTCTTGCGTGTAAGTCGTGTCTTGCTACGCCTCCTAGTTCTGAGTTTTGCTGCTCTCATTGCTCCGGCCCAGAAGGCGACCACATATTGTGATATCACCTGATCCGACGTACGTGGCTTGAAAGAGACTTCTTGCCTTCCCAATCACGACCAACGCCAGGGGAACACAGACAGGCTTAATCATAACGCGCAACTTCAGCTGTGGAAGCCATTGCCCTCTTGTACTCGTGCGAAAGTAACTGTCGATCCCGCATGCATCTATCGTCCGATATTGGCTGCTATCGTCCGATATTGGCTGCTGGGGAACCCTTACAAAAGCCGTGGGGTAGAGCAGACTAGCTCCTTCTAACGGCCTCATTCAAGCTTTCTTTGCTGCGTCGACGGCCGCGGGATCTCCCCCGATCATCGATGCATGGCGTGTGGGGAAGGGAAGGGCGTATGTACGAACAAAGGGGGGGGAGTGGCCTCGACCCAATGGCAAGAACTTGGCACAACGCCACATTGTGTGCGGAGGACATATTCGTATGGTACGTTCTGTAGGAAAGGCCATAATCCATGTGGACGAGGGAGATTTCCTTTAGCGTCAGGTAGTACCGACCACAAATGACTGCGTGTATTTCTTCAGAGGTCGTACCGTATATTTTAACTTGAATGTGTAACAATTGGCAATTACCCGAAGGTCTGAGCCCAGGGCTTGCCCGTTCCGCTCCGCTGATGGAAGGCTCTGGGGAGAGGAGACACCCATGGAATTCGTTCGAGATAATATGCCACCAGCGAGGTGTACGTAGACATGTCCACAGGAGCCCTACCTCGAGTGCTGTGTCCAGTTTGTAGTGGCGTACTGGAGGTAAGGTTAACCATGGTTGGTGACTGGAAAGCTGGTCGACGTGCAAAATCGTCACGCTCATACGTTCATCACGTACATACTGTGTCTGCTTCATGCTGACTGCCGATTAAGGTCCACTCTTTCATCGTTCCTCACTCGTGCGATCGCTTGTCGCCGAACGACTAGAGGACACTTTTGGTAGCACAGTGGCCCATGAAAACGCTGTGACGACGAGCGAGGAGCCGATACTCGGGTGTGGCGGCAACCGCCGGTTTTGTTCCCATTTCCTTTGCTCCCCCTCCCTCTCCCCAACTCTAATGACAAGGTGGGCTAGTCATCGTCCAGTCTCTGACTCTTGATCTCGCCACTTGTTGCACACTGAAGTAATGATGTGAGAAAGGGCATACCTAATTTATGACAGGGAACTGGGAGAGGTAACAAGAAGTAAAACAGCGTGAGGATGCCACAATGCGAATGACATGGTGAAAATACGGCACAGCTGAGCCATACATACGAGCGTCGAGCGGTCGTGGAGAAAGACGAGATTCATTTTGCTTTTGGCTGGATAGGCCAGTCAGACCCTAGCGTCGGAGTGAGAGTTGTGCGGCAACTGACATCTATCCAGCTTCTGCTTGCGCCCTTCTCATGGATACCAAGAATGCGACCGTAGTCCTCTATAGATGAACTATCCCGGGGTATAGTTCACCTGCTAAGTCAGTACATAATTCTGTCGAGTTTGCCAGGACCGCGAGCTTTGCGGTGAGCCTTGGCCAGAAAGATGGAAATAAAGTCGAGAATTTTGCCTTTTAGTTTGCGGGGGAACGTTTCCCGTCACTTTAGGTAGGTAGTCGTACTCAGTGAAATAGTCGTGAGGTGTTCGACACCCCCTTCTTTCCATTCTTGAGGACCGACCTCGTTAGGTACAGTAGCTCTTTCCCTCTCGTACAGCACGTGAACAAACGGTACATATGTAGTTGTGTCACACGCCAATTCTGGCTTAGTGAGCGGACTGACCGAGCGTTGTGCTCCTGCACCGGCTTCTCAGGACGTGAAAGGACTGCCTCAATGTGATCCGAACGAAACTCCACGGCAAAATGAGCCCATGAAAATAGTCCTGGAGGTGCACGAGAGTATCCGCTGAGTCCTGAGTCCTGACTACATACCTGTTCCTATGGAGTGTTCGTCGACTCTCGCTGTCCTTGATGTGGTCCAGAGCTTGTCGATCTGGAGCGGTTACTATACAAGTCCTGCTGCGGATGTGAACGGCCGATGCAGCAAGCAACCTCTGTGAGCACCAAGACGGTAGACCAAGACAATGAATTCAGAATGATCATCAACGTTGCTTAAACGCTCGCGATGCATGATTGGCAGGGCGCCTTGAAGACTCTCCGTTCGCACAGTGCCGAACGCCTCTGGTCCCCTCCCGACCCGACCCGACCCGACCCGATGCCCGGTACATACCCGAGCGAGTCGCGAGTCGCGAGTCGCGACTGAGAGATGAGAGACATGGAGAAGTGAGACAGTACGTTGAGGTTATCGTGCAGCTTCGTGCAGGTCGCAGAACGACTTGCGGTGAGGCGTAGAGGTGAGCGAGCACTACAAACGGCTGTGTATTTGGTGGAAAAACGCCGCCAATCTTGAGTTGTCTCTTTGAGTCTTCCAGCGAGTTAGTGTGGAGAGTGGATTCGGGGGCAAAAAGAACGAAGGAAATCACACACGGTGAACATGAGCGAAAGTGTGAAAACTTGAAAAGTTGAAAGCCATCAGCCGCAGTTTCTGCCATAAAAGGCCTGTCTATAGCCGTGGCGGCAAAAAGAGAAAAATGAATGACACCTGAGGGATTCGAACCCTCGCCTATTACTAGACCGCGAAGAGGAAGATGCGCGGCGGAGCGTATCTAAGCCTGAACACGGCGCCTTAGACCACTCGGCCAAAGTGCCTCAACTTATTGGTTGATGTACATGATGATCTTAATTCTTCTCAATAACCAAGTCCAGTCTTCGACTCGTCTTGTCGTCATTGCCACCACGCGGAAAGTTGAAACCCTGGTCCGGCACGTTGAATTCTGAACCTCCTGGCGATGGTCCGCAAAAGCCTGATTGCCGGCACGAAAGCAGTGTAAGTTGAATTCTGAACCTCCTCGGCGATGGTCCGCAAAAGCCTGCTTCACCCCTTCTCCCGCGATGCGGTCGCAGGTACCTGAACATTACCCTCTTACTCAAACATACGTGGAAGCCGTGAGCTTCCAGATATGGAGGACTAGAGACTTGCCGCCCATCACCAAACATCCGAAGAATGGATGACCTTTCATCAGGAGCCTTCAGGGCGATGGTGCCAGCTGTCGTCATAGTGCGTGAGCCAAACTCTCTGAGTTTCTCCAGTCGCGCCGTGGTAATATACCTAACCGGGCAGAAGCACAATACGTAGTTGATGCGTTCGCTTGCGGTGAAACTACCTCATGGCTGCGGGGAGTCTTTGCTTTTTTAGAAACCCATTTCGTTCAATTATCTTAATTGTTCAATGAGGCGTCGTATTCTGAGGGTTACATACGTTTGCTGACTGCTGTATAGCGTCGGAGAAGTCCCTTTGTCGCTCAGCTCGAGAATCTACCCATTTCTGATTCGTGCCGCTGTAGATGCTCCTCCCATTTGCGCAAGCAAAGAGGTTTAGAAAGGGCCACACAGCATGATGGTGGCTCACCATGACCAACCTGTGTTGTTCGTGGATCTTCTAATGCCTTCTTCAGGCTGGCCATCGCGGATACATCATTCACAAGAATGATGATGATGGTGCACGTTGGCTCAGCCTAAACTTTTAATCGTGATCGGTCAATTCGAGCTCGCGACATTGGTGCGTGCGACGCACAGTGTGCTTGATTTTTCACGTTTGTTGAAAGGCTGCTTCAGTCGATAGGAAGTAGCTTCTATCACAGAACAAAAGAGGTGTTCAGCCCAATGCGAGGCGCTGGAGTAATACGTCGCTGACCCAAAGTGGGAAAGAACGATGCATTACTGAAGTCTGAGTCCTGACTCCTGACACTGTAGCTGCCGCTGCTTACAACTGCCCTTCATGACCATTGACGACAAGGCCAGCACCCTGCTCCACTCTGTCCCCGCAAGTACATAGGTACCATCCCACTGCGCCTCCGCCAAGATGAGAAGCTACCTAAGCTGCAACTTCGACGTTGGCGTCGCTCACGACAACGAACACTAGCTTCGACAACGCCGATACCTAAACGACCCATGCTTTTTAGACGGCTTCATTCGTGACGCGCTGACCATTGACGTCCATATTCCGACTTTCATCGTCACGTCACTCGCGGGCCAGCATGCGCACATCATGCCCACGCTCTCTGAGCCCCGCCGACCTCGTCTGCTTCCACAGAACCGTAAGCTTCGCCATCTAAAGGGGCTCTCTCTACGGAATCTGTCCTTCGCGCCCCGCGGCCCCGGCAATGCGCACACATCAGATGACGCCGCTATCAACAGGAGCTCCAAAAAGCTCGGCAACCTCGACGAAACAGGTTCATCGCAGCTTCGCGCCTCGCGGTCCTCGGAGAGCCTGCGCCTGGACAGCCTCCACGCTGACAAGAGAAGGCCGAGAGCTCAGCCCCGACGAAGCAGCTTGAGCGTGGCCCATGCGAATCCCGTGACACGGCAGAAAGATCTAGAGTCTCTCGTCGATAGCTCTGTAGGCGATGTCTTTTTCTCGCTGCATGTGGCAGACTGCGACGAGCCCGTCTACATCAGCGAAGTCCGCAACCGATCCGCAGTGCGTCATACTATCCTGTCCCTGCAGCGGCTTTCTTTCTCCTCTGTATCAATCAAAACACTAATTTAGATGTCCAGAACTTTGATTTTCAGTTCTTCCATCTCTCTTCTCGGGAAACCTGCATTTCAAGAGCATGCATTCTCACCATTCGCGTCTGGTGTAAACGTCCCCAGCGAGCATCGTGGACCTTCCTACTGGAAGAAATTATCGACCTACGACGACTCAACTTCATTGGTACGCTGAGTGATCGTCGTTTTCCGCCCAATGCTCTTGTGTTCCACCTGCAGGATGGCTTGTACTCCATGGACTTCCCCATAAGGACTGCCGACCCAAAGCCAGCGCCTCTGGTCGCCACCTCTTCGTACACTGCCCTCATGAAGCTCGCCAACCTCGAGAGCTCCGTTCAAGACGCCATGGAGACGCAGCGCAAAATAATGCAGCAGATCAATGAGATACTTGACGAGTCACCGGCCGATCCAAATCCTGCTGCCAACGAAGCGACTGCCTCGGCAGTGAAATATGTCTCGATGCAGCGCCGGGCGAACATGGCAGCGGAGACAAAGCGCCATGACCTGCGGAAATCTCTCCGAAGTAGGCGTGAGGCCATCGCTCAGGGTAGACAGGTTCAGGCTCTAGCAGAGGCGGACATCCAAAACAACAGCGAGAAGCTAGCTGCGTCTGTCGAGCTGGTGCAGCAAACGGAGCAGCAAATTCACGGCCAGAGACGGCGCATCTGCTCCGAGCTATGTGATATGTTTCCCATTACGCCCATTCCCAACGCACCGCCACTATCCTTCCAAATATGCGGCTTACCTCTGCCGAATTCTGTCTACGATGCCGCCACTGCCAAAGTGATTGGCGAAGATGTCCTCTCGGGGGCCCTAGGCCTCGTCGCATTGCTCACCCGCCACCTGTCATTCTATCTCTCCTCGCCTCTTCCATATCCCTTGTCCGTCTATGGCTCCCGGTCCTACGCTCGTGACGACATATCCCACATCCCAGACACCCAGCCCCAGCGGCAGCCTCAGCGGCAGCGGCAACGGCAGCGTCGTGAATTTCCCCTCTACCTACCGCGTGGTGGCTCGACCATTGGCCAATGGCGCTTCGAATACGGCTGGTTCCTCCTCAACAAGAACATCGAAGCTCTATGCGCATCCGAGGGCCTCAAGGTCGTCGATATTCGCCACTCGCTCCCGAATCTAAAGTATCTCTTGTATGTGTGCAGCGCCGGCACAGACGAGATGCCCGAGCGCAAAAAGGGCGGCGTACGGGGCCTGTGGGACGGAAAAAAACTTAATGGTCACGCCCGAGGGACCTGGAGCGGGACTGCTGGCGCCGTGCCTGCTTTGCCCTTTGCCTTGGATGCCGATGGCGAGAGCGGCAGCAGCAGTGGCAGTATCGCAGGGAGTCGGCAGGCCAGTGTGGACAGCGAGATGATGAATCGGCATGGGGACGCGTTGAGGAGTGCCATGCTGAAGATGGATGACGAATGGGTCAAAGACAGCGGCATCGGTCTGCCGTTTGGGGAGGAAGGGGGCTTTACGTTGAGAACCAAGGGTTTGAGAGAGAGTATTGCGCAGTGAGGGAGTCACCTGCGTGGAGGATAGAAAAGTCAGCTATTCAAGAGACTCACGTCTGTTGTCCAACAGTTCTATGAGCACGCTCCACGAGGCCTTCGTTCAGGATGTTTCTCGAAATCATCAGGCCTGAGCCAGCCCCGGCTGTGAAGCCCTTGTAGGTACCTTCGCGTGATGTGACATCTACCAAGGATTCCTTCAACGGTGTCCGTACAGTGTGTCCAGAAAAAAAGAAGAAAAAAAAAATCATGTCCACGTACCACCCATCATCTTTGGCAATACCAGACTACAACCGCTCAAAGCATTTCAAAGCTGCATTCAACATCTCGCACGAGGAGTCGCGTCTGCTTGGCCTTCTTAGCAGGTAATTGAGCCGCACAGAGCACAGATTGCAACTGACGAGAGCTCCCTCGAGCCTTGTGTGTCTACAGGGACAAAAGGGGGTTCACTCGAAAAGATCGAGGCATCTCACCTTGTGGACGAGGGCGGCCTCGCACTTGTGATATCAACGACGCCTGAAGAGCTCACCGCGAAGAAGACGTTGGCCAGACGCATATCCTCGAGTATATCTCACGAGGAACATATGCCAAGGCACCATAAGTATGTTGCGTATATAGATTGGCATTACGCGACATGATATGATAACTCAGGCTCTTCGCAAATCGCAACGTTCTGCTATCAAAACAGTCGTGCTCCCACGCGATAAGCGGTAATTGTCACAGCGCTCGCCCTGGGCCCAAAGTATCAGACGTTCTTTCCACCCATGGATCATCGTATGTTTCTCCAAACAGCTCAATGACCCGGCCTCAGTGGTCCGGCGCATGTCACTGCATGGCTATGCACTCCTCCAACCCCTTCCCCTAGCTGCAAAAGTCCATAGGCACGACCTGGACATCATGATCATTGGGTCCGGGACACCCTTCGCGAACCACAGACCATGCGAGACAGCCGCCTGAGCTTAGTGACCCGGTTTGATTGACGGAGGCCTTACACTGGCCCTGTATGGTAACGAGTACTTTAAATTCTCCCGTATAGGTGGCTGAGTATCTTTTTTTTCACTGCTCATTCGGAGTGTTTTTTCATATTGCCCAGCGTTAGCATATGGTAGGCATACCTATTTATGATGCTCCCGCGGGCTATAACTACAGGCTAAATTTATCAAGAAAGTCTCCGTTTCTCAATCGACTCCGCGCCTCGCGGTCTCGGTATATCTTCTTTCAGAGCTCAATTGTTCTCTTAGCTGATTGTGTAAACTAATGGCACTTTGATGCTAAGAAGTAACAATTACAACAAGGTAGAAGATGAAGAACGATGTTTCCGGGGCTGCCGCCGATCGTCCTTGCTGTAACTTGGAGAAGATCGTGGCCAGTCTTCTGAACGACTGTTCCACGAGAGAGACAGAGATGGAGAGATTAGGTACATAGATACCTAAGAAAACAAAAGGGGGCAAAGGAGCTTCGGAAGCATCGGCCTGCTGGGATGTTGCACGGTTACCCCATGTAGTCTTTATTCTGTGAGTCAGAATACCTATATGTACTACCTATGTATGTATCAACATTTTTATTAGCCTGAAACCACCGAGTCCAGGGCAA